GTAAACGCCAGATTTTCGTTCAGTTCATCTGCACAGATCTGGCTTGCGCAAGCCAAATCGTTCAGATGGCTTGAACGTGTAAACGGGCTTTTAGTTGCCGTTCTCAAGTGTGTTATTGCATTATACCTTGGGTAAAACCTCTAAAAACATGTCAATCATTGCAGCCTCCTTGTACTCCTTCCAGGCCTCGGCTTTTTTGGCCATTTGCTCAGCTTCAGCCTTGGCTTTGGCCTGAATGGCGAACGCCTCAGCTTCGCCTGGAGGATTAAGGGAATTAGGTGTGCCCCATAGTTTTGAGGTTGTGCTTTTACCCTTCAGCCTCACGGCCTCTGCTTCAGCTTCAGCTTCTACGAGGACCTTTTTGCGGTTAGCTTCCGCAATTTTTTCCAGTCGGAATTTCTCAGCTTCGGCCGGACGTCGCACTGTTGCCTCCAGTTCGCGCTCGCGCCGCGCAATTTCCTGCTCCTGCACAAGGATTTGTTGCGATCGTTCCACCACCTGTGAAAAAAAACGAACAATTTGCTTGGAGTTTTTAGAGCCAGGCGCCTCCAAATGTTACCATAATCTGCATTTCCTCCTCCTTGATCTTTTGCTTGGTTTTGGCTGCTTGCAGCTCATAAGCCATTTCGGCTTCGGCGTTTTTCGTCTGCACTTCCACATCGTAAGCGGCCTTTTTCAGTTCGAAATCGCGCCGGGCTTTGGCAATTTCGGTGTCGTTGAGAAAGACTGAAGCCATTCGCTGTTCTTCAGCGATGGCTTCTTTGATGGCCGCGTCGGCTCGCGCTTCAGCTTCACCTATGCGGGCGTCGCGTTTCACTTCGGCCGTCCGCGCCATCCCCAGGCTTTTCAAGTATCCCTAACAAGAAGAAATTATGAATGAATGATTAATAGGGATGAGGATTGGGAAGCAACAACACGGCAAATGTTCAATGTTCAATCACACACACATACCTTGGCGCCCTTCGTGGCAAAAATGGAAAAAAATAATTTGATCAAACGAGCTAAAATAAATGAGAGCAAGTCGGACAGCGCATAGTGGCTGGGTGAATTCTTTGCTACAAACCTCTTCATCTCGGATATCTTTGATCGTGTACGACACCACAGTGATGCCCATATTGACCAGGTCAGACGACGCCACTTCAAACACTTGCTTACTGAACTTTTTGCGGTCTTTGTAGATTTCTTCGACAGTCATCGATCCCATCATGGCCCTTTGGTGTCCCTCCAGAGTGACCAGGGCAATGTGCTCGATTTCGTTCGCCGATTTGCCCAAGAATTGCTCGCAAGCTGCGGAGAGCATTTCTTCATTTTGTCCCTGAATCTTCACCTAACGGATTCATTTTTGATGTCTCAACCGCATTATTCGCTCTTTTACTTACTTGTGCGATTCCCGTGACGGAAATCGGGACACCTTGGCTCGTGTACACTGTCGGACTGTCCACGATTAGGGTCATGGTGTTTAGGGAGATTCTGCAACCGTTTTTCTATTATCTATTGGCCATTTTTCCTGCATTTGATTACCTTTGGATTCTTTGAATGCCCGGCCATATGAAGGCTCGGCCGCCAGGCACTAAATGGGGCTTGCTGTAACAGCATCCTGAAAGGAAACAGTTTGGTTTTTTTT